GACTTCTTCCAAAACCGACGCGCCCCATTGCGGCGAAATACCATGCAGTGCATTCTGGGAACTAGTTGGCCACTCAGTTTCGGTTTCGACTGAGCAGATTCATCTCATGCTATCACGCCGCGACCGAACGCACTGCTTGCGTTTTCGATTATCTGACTTTTTTTACGAATGTACAATATACTCATTCTCGAGCGATACAAAACGAAGGCCGGGGCACTTTTTTTGGTTCCCGAAACACCGGATATTTGAGTGCGTATGCAAACGTAGTAGGACGTGGCTTAGTCACATCATCTTTGAGTTCACTTTCAATAATCCCGTCTAGTACCAGTGAACTACAAGTGAAATTCGGTCACCTGGAGCATTACACATGTTTTGTTTGCCAAATGTCCGCTTCTTGTTACTTCATTGGGCGAAAAGCAAGCCGCATCCTCACAGGAGTATCAAAGTTGAGCCCAGCGTTGACGCGTAAACTTTTAAGGAAACGCAATAAATTCGACCTCACTGCTGCACCAAAGTTACTATGATGTCTTCCTCGTGTCATCATATATCTCCCACTCAAATTTTATGCTGATAGAAGATTAAGTTTTCGCAAATGCGGAGATGGGCTAGCTACGACGGAGGCCCTAACAAGCGTCCCCTACTCCTCGCTAAGCCTTTTTGGACGAGCTTTTACTGACACCCAAGATCTGTGCCTGAACGGTGTGTCCGAAATTATCGCGGCATACTCGGGCAGAAAGAAAGCTAACACATGACAAATATTATGGCCATTAGCAACCGTCAAATGCACTTTGAATAATTTCGTTCGTTTGGCGCACCGCATAGGGGTTCATACCCGTCCGGCGTACTTCTGGCGAATGGTGCAACATTTTTCACACAAGTGCTCGACTTTTGCTTTCTTAAAACGGTTTGTATGCGCGAATGTGCCTATACGATTGCAGGATAACTTTACGTGCATACGCGATGTTGAATATTAGTAAAATGCAAGTGGGTGGGGACTTCGCTTCGTGCAGTGCTGCGGGTCAGTACAGATAAGAGATAAGAAGTGTGTTATAATTGAGCTTTTCAATGGCACCTCCGAGTTTTACTTCGCGTACACAGGCGTATTAAGAAAACAGTAATTGCAAAAAGTAATATTTCTTCTATGGACGCACGAAACGAACAAACTTCCTGATCAGCAACATATAATGTAAAGGCGCGAGCTCGATGTATGCCTACTTATTGGTTGCTACAGCCTGTTGATTCGTACATAAGCAAGATCCCCGAGCTTCGCAGCGTCGAGATTCCCAGCACTGGCTCGTCCAGATACCTCGAAACGCTAACAAAAAGGCTCAAGTACAAAAATAGAACACGCATGTGTTAAGAGAAGCTATATACGTCTCGGGCTTGTGCTAAAGCTTCGAGGTCTGGCCATTTAGGTTAGTTTATAGACCACAAATGACGCTCTCGAGACCAGAAAACATGAGATAATGGCCGTTTATAGTCCACGCTCTGTGTGTAATCTCTGGTCGACGTGTCGATCGAAACCGAAACCATGCCACTCTCCTCCCTGGCCAACTAGTTCCCAGAGTGCAACGCGCGCCGTGTTGCATGCAGGGCTTTATGAAAGTAGTCTATTGTGTGCATGCGTCAAGAATAATTGTGTGTCAGAAGTTCCTTTATTTCCTTGTTTTTTGACTCCATACAGACCAATGTTGAAATTGTTGGTGGCTGCTTCATCCATGGAGTGCAAGGATCATACCTATTTGTTTATTAGGGAATAATTGACATGGCCGTGTCATACATGTTTGTTACATGGTCACTAAAAAGTGTGGGAAAAGAGAGAAAGCCCATGGCTGTTGCACAGGGAAGCCCCCAGAAACACTGACCCCTGGTGGTGGACTGATCCAACACTTTGCCGCACAAGCTAAAGGTTCATCTTGGTTGGTGTCGCCCGTGCTTGAGTGGGGCATCCTTGCACTGCTTAAAATGCCTGCTCAGTTCCTGGTCCATAGCCTGGTTCTTTCACTCGTTAACTGCCAATCAAGTTATGCCCAGTGGTAAGTTCATCATCTGACTAAAAATGAGTTGAGTTAAAGCGTCTGGGGCACAACTGGTCCAGGTGGTGCTTCATTGTGCCATGGTGGATTTTACCAAAGTCATGCAGTTTTCGACAACCTGGAAGATGATCTTGGTCCCCATTGTTCTACAGCTCCCATGTTTCTTTTAAAAACAGGGCTGCTTTTTTTGAGGTTGCTAGGTCTTTCCAGGTCTACCTTTGGCTCCTGGGTCTCAGTGATGAGGTCCATGCAGCAAACTCTAGGACAAAAGTTGAACACGAGCTCTGTTGGAGATTGTCCTCCTGTGGTAGGCGGTGTGCGACGGTACACAAGGAGCCATCTTGGCAAGTATGCGGCCAAAGAACCACCCGAGAGTTTCTTTAGACTGTCCTTGATCGTTCTGACAGCTCTCTCGGGAAGTCTGTTTGACTATGGATAGTTAGGTGCAGTCCTTAGGTGGCCAATTCCATTCTGAGTAATGAAGTCGGTAAACAGCGTGCCGGGGAATGGTGTTCCATTATTGGACACCAAGCAAACAGGAAGTCCTAACCAGGCGACCGTGTTCCTCAGATATTCGACTGTTGCAGTGGAGTTGGCTGGCTGCTGATGCCAGTGGTTTCTTTCAATCTTGGTAACTGTTTACCACAATTAGCACCGTTTTACCTTCGATAGGTGCAGTGCAGTTCATGTAAATTCTTGTCCATGGAGCCGTGGGTTCTGGCCAAGCTTGTGGCTCTGCTTCTGGTGGCATTAATGCAGCCTGTTGGCATATTGTTCAAGGTTGTACGGCATCAACCATTGCCTTACCTCATTGCATTGATACCCATGCGTGTGTCATGGAATTCTTGGAAGAAGGTTAACCTCCTATGGGCCTTTTGACTCCGTGGATGTTGTGTGACGACACTGGTCCAACTGCCTCTGGAGGTGTGGCACATTCAGGATCAGTTCCTCAGTGTGGTTGCGATACACCAGGAGCCTGATGCAGCAGTGTCTGCTTTGCCTTGTTAAAGCCGTCGTCTTCCTTTAATACACACCTCTATTTCACATTTTTCTGGAGCAGGTGGTTGAATGGAGCCAATAGCTGAAACATTTGAGGCAGGCAGCTTGCATGCTACAGATGATGAATCCTGAGAAATAACAAAGTGCATGGCAATTCCATGGAGCAGGAACCTTCAGGTTGGCTTTCAGCTTGTTGAGATAGGTAAGTAAGTCTATCTAGCTAGTGATCGAGCTGAACGACTGACTTGCTTGCATCCAAGCTCGCAGGCAAGTCCTCAGAAGTACTGGCCCTCTGGTAGCCGGACCCATCAGTGACATTGCCTTTATCTTTCGTAATTAGGTGAAAGCTTGGTAACTTACTCGGGTGGACGAATATCAGATTTCTGTCATTTCACATCATTCATGCTATCTGATTAATTAATTTGAAGTTTTTTTGAGTGTCCAAATTGTGAAAATATTTTGAACTTTTCCATGGTATATACTGGTAGTTTAGTGGCTGGATATTAAAACTGAATGTGTGACAAATGTTAGAAAGAAGGCCCTGTCGGTGCCCATGCAAACGACACCGCTATTTTAGAACTCTATAAATTGCCGGAGCAGTATAGAAAGAGAGAACAGTGCAATTTATGAGAAACGAAAGAAGGGGTCCACCGTGCACATCGGTACTGGTTTGGTGATTGGATGAGTCAATTCAGGGACGTTCAGTGCTTGTATGATGGCTTCCTAGAGGCCGTTTCATTCACATAATGTGATCCTTCCAAGAAAAAAACGAGTAAACTGACCTTGTAGTATTTTTCTTCGTTGTTGAAGGCACAATTAAATTCATTCCAGAGCTCAGTTTAGTTGGTTAAATTATTCATACCCTTTTCATTAGAAGTCTCTATATAGCAGCACGTGTCGGTATCATTCTATGAAGTCTGTTCGTAGACGATAGCGTGGCACCTCAACAGGACCCCGTTGAGCAAAATGACTGATCTTGTTGAGGTGAATGAAGTGTCTCATGAACGAAGGCAACAGTGAGAGTGAGAGACGCACCCACTCACGAATGTTTAAGTCCTCACAAAGGAAAATGTGTCTAACGAATTTAGCAACGTTTCTATTAGAGCCCCGTCTGTCTTCACTGACATACTCAGCAACTCTGGGCATTTCCGTGCCCAGCGCCAGTGCTCACCATTAATAAAACGCAGTCTTAAAATGTTTGAGTCGTGTATACGCTCTGTGCAGGATTATCTCTCTAGAAATTATTAACTATACGAGAAGGGCGCGAACTTCTGTCGCGATGAACAAAGAAGGTAGTGCTCCTCGGCCAGACTAGTAACTCTAGCGCGACTAACATCACCGACATAAAAAAAAAAAACTAGCTTTTTAGCAACCTAGTTTTTTCAAAAAGGTTGTTTACGTTAAAACCAGAGAACACAATCAGCAGGCCGTGTTTGGCTCGCCTCCGAGCAGCGGTTGCTGTTGTTAGCTTGGAGAGACTATGCTGAGCTGTCGATGAGAAAGATGTCGTAAAATTTCCAAAAATATATATTTATTATTGGCACAGTTCGTTTTGTAATTGTTTACTCAGACTTCTTTTCGAGCGTGTTCTAAGAGCCATGTTAACAGGTAAAAAGAAAACTAAAAAGTTATACTTCTCTTATTTGTTTGCAGCACAGTCAACAAGCTGCAAAGAGCAGCATGAACAAAATGAACCGGAAAAGGCGTCCAGCCACCAGCAAGCTGACGACTGCGCCACTTCGCCATGCTGTGCCACGACGCCAAATTGTGTGCCAACGCCAAGCTGTGCCGCGACGCCAAGCCACATCGCTGATGCACCAGATGAGCCTCCGAGATTTTGCTCAACGCTTTCCACCAACCAGAACCAAATGTCTGACGATGACCCGTCGCTGCCAATGCCGACTAACGACCTGGACAAGCAAGCCAGGCAAGCACGGGGTCCTTTTCAGCCTCACCTGGGCAGCTATGCCCAAACAGAAACGAATAATGGAAAGTGCAGCTTTTGTGAACACGGGTTTGCAAAGTTCAGCTGGCTTGAATACAGTCCAGCAAAAGATGCAGCCTTTTGCTTTTGTTGTCGGGCGTTTCTGCAGATTCTGCGGTCGTCAAGCGCACCCCCGCAACGAGTGCCCGGCTAGACAAGCCAAGTGTCACTACTGTCGACGCCTGGGTCACTTCGAAGATGTCTGCGAGAAGCGGAAACGAAGTTTGAGCACTGTTCATCTACATGCCGTTTCGACCGCGGGCCGAGCGAAGTTTGTCAAGGTCGCCGTCAACGGGTACGACGTCGACTTCAAAGTGGACTCCGGAGCCGAAGTCACGGTGGTGCCAAGCACGTTTCCCGGAGCACCTCGCAGTCTCCAAGAGCCTGAAGGGCAACTCACTGGACCGGGCAATCACCCATTGACAGTTCTCGGTACCTTCCAAGCCACATTGACTTGGAAAGGCAAGTCGGTAGTGGAGCGGGTTTATGTCCTGCCGTCGCAAGACCCGCCTCTTTTGGGGTTTCCTGCCATCCAGAAGCTGGGTGTGGTGAAGTTCGTTGACGCCCTCTCCAGTCTCAACCAGCAGAGCCCTCTTCACAGCGACATCTTTGAAGGGTTGGGTGAGCTGAAGGACGAGTATGTGATTCGACTCCAGCCAGGAGCACAGCCGTTCTCCCTCAGCGTTCCTCGCCGCATTCCGATTCCCCTTCATAACATTGTCCGCGAAGAACTGGATAAGCTAGAAGCTGACGGTGTGATCCGTAAAGTCGACGATCCGACGGACTGGTGTTCTGGTATCGTTGTCATCCCCAAGTCCTCTGGAGGTTACCGGATCTGTGTCGATCTCACACGTCTTAACCAGGTGGTCCAGCGGGAGCGTCACGTCCTCCCATCGGTGGAGCACATCCTGGGACGTCTGGGTCCTGCACGGATCTTTTCCAAGCTCGACGCTACAGCCAGTTTTCACCAGATCAAGCTATCTGCCGAAAGCCAGCTCCTCACGACCTTCATCACCCCGTTCGGCAGATACTGCTTCTGTCGCCTTCCTTTTGGAATTTGCTCCGCTCCGGAGTATTTCCAACGTCAAATGGGGAGGATCCTGGAGGGTCTCGACGGAGTCGTCCACATGATCGACGACATTTTGGTTTTCGGACGCACCCAAGAGGAACATGACCGGTGTCTTGCAACAGTATTGGGTCGCCTCAGCAGTGCCGGAGTGAAACTGAACAGAGCCAAGTGCGTCTTTTCAGCGTCCACTGTTAGGTTCTTGGGAGTCACAGTCAGTGCAGACGGTATCAGCCTTGATCCGGACAAGGTCCAGGCTCTGGTCAACTTGGAGGCCCCAGCGGACGTCAGTGGTGTCTGGAGACTTCTCGGCATGGCTAATCACGTAGGCCGTTTTCTTCCTCACCTGTCCGACGTGACTACGCCGATTCGTGCTCTTCTCCAAAAGAACAGTGCATGGTGTTGGGGGCCCAGTCAGCAGTCTGCCTTTGATCGTCTTAAGGGCATGTTGAGCTCCAAGGTCTGCATGGCCAAGTACGACCCTTCGTGCCATACCACAGTGTCGGCTGATGCAAGTTCGTATGGACTGGGAGCCGTTCTGCTACAGGACCAACCATTGGGAGAGCGTCGTGCCGTTGCCTACGCTTCGCGATCTCTTACACCGACAGAAACCCGGTATAGCCAGACGGAGAAAGAGGCTCTGGCCGTCACATGGGCCGTTGAAAGGTTCGACCAGTTCGTCCGTGGCATCAGGTTTGATGTCGAAACGGATCATCGACCCCTCGTCACTCTGTTGGGATCTGCGGAACTGGACACTATGCCTCCTCGCATTCAGCGCCTGAGGATGCGGCTTATGGCCTACCAGTACAACGTTCTCTATGTACCGGGGAAGCTCCTGGCGACAGCAGACACCCTCTCCCGAGCTCCTGTACAGGCTGCCGACACCAAAGTAGACACCGTCGAGCTCTTCGTTGGGTCACTGCTCAAGGACATCGAAAGTCTTGCATCCACTCGCCTCGATCGCCTTTGCCAGCACCAAGCAGAGGATGGAGTCTGTGCCGGCCTACTCAGATTCTGCAAGGATGGGTGGCCCAAGAGGGTGTCCAACGTTCCAGTTCATCTTAGGGCTTTCTGGAAGGAGCGAGGCAACATCACAGCCTTCGAGGGCCTGTTGCTGAAGGACTGTCGCATCGTGGTTCCTCAGACTCTTCAGAAGGAGATGCTAACATTACTCCACGAGGGCCACCAAGGCGTGGGAAGATGCAAGGCAAGGGCTCGCGGCTCAGTGTGGTGGCCAACCTTGAACAGCGAGCTGGAGCAACTGGTGGGGACGTGTGAGCGTTGTGCCCAAACAAGAATTCAGCGCTGCGAGCCGCTTCTCGGGACTCCTACACCCGATCGCCCCTGGCAACGTATCGGGGTTGACCTCTTTGAGCTGCAAGGACGCAACTACGTGGTCATGGTTGACTACTATTCCCGTTTCCCCGAGGTGGTTCGTCTTGCGACCACAACATCAAGCTCCGTCATCGCGGCTATGAAGAGTTCCTTTGCCCGCTTTGGGATTCCGGAGACTGTGGTCTCTGATAACGGTCCGCAGTTTTCGTCAACGGAATTTGCCTCTTTTGCAGCCTTGTATGGGTTCGCCCACCGTACGAGCAGTCCGAGGTACCCGCAAGCGAATGGCGAGGCAGAGCGCATGGTTCGAGCACTAAAGGAGCTCTTCGTGAAGGCAGAGGATCCGCACATGGCGTTACTGGTGTACCGGGACACACCCGGAGTGACCGGCTACAGCCCTTCGGAGCTGCTCATGGGTCGTCGTCTCCGGACCAGGTTGCCAGGGTTACCTGCATCGCTGATGCCGAAGTGGCCGTCGCCAAAGCTCGTCAAGAGCAGGGACCAGAGCGTGAAGAGCCATCAACGCAAGGACTTCAACAGGCGTCACGTTGCCCATTCACTGCGCCCTCTGGAAGCAGGGGAAGAGGGGGGGGTACAAGATATACCATGTGCTGCCAGGGTGTTGAGCCCGGCCAAGCGGCCGCGCTCCTACATGGTCGAGACGCCAAGGGGTGTTGTCCAGCGCAACCGTCGCCACTTGGTGCCGTTTACACCCAGTACTCCCAGCCAGCTAAGCGACTTAGTTTGTACCCAGCCTGCAACTTCAGACGGGCCAGTTCCTGTTGCCGAAAGACCAACAGGCGATTCAGCGGTGGTGCCCAGTTCTACACGGCAGTCTCCCCCACCGGGTATACGCGTCACACGTTCAGGGCGGCAAGTCAAGCCTCCTCAAAGACTGAACTTGTGAAAGCACGAGGTAAAGCTTCCTCGAGCTGGAAGGGGAGATGTAGTGAGGACATCTGGCAATAGATGGCACCACATGTGTTGTGCTGCGGGCTTACCGGAAGCGAAGCTTCTTCCGGTTGTTCATTTACGATTAAAAGCACTTTTTGGCGAGCTGTCACACGGGGTGGTTGTGTTTCCTTCTGCCTGGCGACCATGTGGTCGCACTCGGACGCCCACGGTCACAACAATACCAAGAGCACAATAATTAACACTGATCTTGGGAAGCTGTTTTTAACCACATTTTGATATCATACATGCATAACATGCCATTTACTGCAAAATTAACAGGACACCGGAGCATGGTAAGTTATCTTGAGTATTTTTCATTCTTCTGTTCTTTTTGGGATGAGTTTTGAGTGGAATTCCCTTGCTTGAATGGGAACAATATAAGGCTTAAAATTTCACTGTTAATTATTTTTCAGTAATTTGTAATACATTTTAAATAAACTTTTTATTACTAATGAAAGACACAGGACTTGTTTATACTAACACTTCTTTTTACTGTAGGCTGCAAGTCTGCAAGCAAATATCAAAACTTGCCAATTTTAAATTAAGGAGTGCACAAATCATTCTTCTCTAAGAAGCTTAAAGGCTTTACAGAAGATTGGTACTCGGATAACTGACACTGCCTCACACTCTTTATAATAAAATGTCATGCTTTTGCTTTAACATTTGTGGTACACTGTTTCCCCTCTTATGTGTGGTACATGCCTTAAAGGGGTACTCCACTGGTTTTTTCATTGTTTCCGATTTGCTTGAAATTTTGCTAAACTAACCAACAAACATTGTGAAAATAGTATCCCAACTATTAGGTCAAAATATTGTTTTTTTTTTTGCAAAGTTATTGAATTTACAGTTTTGGTCCTCACCGTGTTTTTCAAGCTCGAACTTTCTGCTGGCAACAATGAAAAAGTGACGTCAGTGGAAGGCAGGGGTTCACTCTTTGGGCTGTAGATTTTGTTTTAAATTGATTCGAAGCAGTTTCATGGTGTCAAATGAATGCTTGGGAAGTTCGCTGCAGTACCCGCGCTCCAGCAGGGAACAAATGAGTGGCATATTCTATTGGTAGACTGCTTTCTCGACTGGCAAGCCTGCCTGCCACTGACGTCACGGCACTGAAAAGTGCGCGAATATTTGAATGTTGGTTTTTGCATCATTTTCATTTGCCGATTTCACAATACCTATTATGAATATCGCGATTCTAAATAGCATACCGGAGAGAGTAAAGGCCGGGGAGTCAGAAAATATAGTTAGTTAAGGTAGCTCAAAAAATCGGTGGAGTACCCCTTTAATGCTTTCTGTAACTCTAATGGGATGTGTGGATCACCAAGTGGAGAAAGGTAATGTACTCCAAAATTTATGAAAAGGCAATAGGCTCTAAAAAAAAATGTGCACAAGAAGTTGCGCCTATAATGGTAGAAGAGTGGCGTAGTAATTCCGTAAACACAATAATTAGGAGGTGCATCCACGAAGGACACGCTGTCGATATAATTGAGCATCCAAAACAACAATGTTGTTCTTCTATGTATCATCATTGGTGCAATTTCCTGCACTCTTTCCAGTGCGCCATTTGACCGTTAACCAACAAAGTTGCTCTGCTCTCTCTGAAAGCATATTTTATACCTTTTGTGAGTGACTCTCGAAATAAATGTGCATACTGGTAGCTGTGTGTGTTTCTTTTTATGTACCACCACATTATAATTCGTTGGGAGTAGTTTATAATAGACTCCGTGACTAATGAAAGAGAAGTTTAGGCATACTAAGATGTGATTCTCGGTATAGTGGGCATACCACTGTAATGCAGATTTTTTTTGTTAAAGCCAGGAGTGCAAGTTTTATGGAGGTGCCTATAAAACATTTGGCACGATGCATGTGTTGCTGAAAAATTATTGGCCCATTCACCTCGTTTGGACAGAAGGTAAATAAAAAATAATCACACTGACGCACTGCCAGCACATCGAAGCAAAAGTTTTGCAGCAGGTGAGTAAGGCACAGGCACAAAAAAGGTATGTGGACACAAAACTTTGTGCACATGCCTGTGTGCCCAAACATAACTTTACATTTTAGCTTTGATATGGAAGGATTTATGCTCCGCTCATGTAAAAAGGTACTTCGCCAATTGTCTTTTTACTTGATTGCAAACAATGAGCTACAACAGCCTTTTTTAGAAAAAATCTTAAGGGTGCAGGCGAGCTGGTGAATATTAACCATGTTGAATTAACCCGAGACTGAGGTAGAGAAGAAACATCAAAACGTAGAAGGGACAGAAAATAGA